ATGTGAGAATGTTCTCGAGTTAAAATGTTCTAGAAAGCAATGTTTCAATCCGCAAAGTTATATATATATTAATCGGATGTGCTCAGTTCTCTTTTTTTTTGAGGATAACTTTGAGACTTTCAGGGAGGGGCGGAGGAGGGGAAGGGTTGGCTGCAGTCTTCTACTTCCCTTTCGTAGTCATTTGATTACTGGTTCAAGCTGCAAAACAAGTGGAAGGCTCATATATATTGAAAGAGGGTCATAAACTATACATTTACGTATAAAACATATAAACAGTAATAAAAATTGGGGTATTGGATCAGGTAATTCATTTTTGGGAGCGTTTATCATGAACATCCAGGCTGCTCAGATAGGCACTGTGAAAACCGATCTTCATAATGTTACATAGGTGCACTTACGTAAGCCCTGACATAACTGTACCAGAAAACTCATTAAAAACATAACATATTTTATATCATATCTACAAAACTTTTTTTGCTATGCGTCAGTTAACCTCACGCGACAGAAGATTCACATAACCCTTGAAAATTTTGGCAGAAGGTGAGTGTGACAAATGGTACTGACTTATGCATAGACACATTTGTTTTTCCTGAAAATGAAATGACTTTTGAATGGATAAATAGTTGGATTGAATTTGGATATTATTATAGGTGCATGTGGATTCATTTTTGTATGACGATGATGACTTGGATCAACTCATTGACCAGGGTATCATCAGCCAGTATTATTGTGTGCAATGCCGTTCCAGAGATATCAAACCTTTAACATACATTTCTCATTCTTTTAGTGTCGACCAGGTCTTTTTATTCTTTTTTAAACATTTTGATCTATAAATAGGAACAAATATATTACACAATTTTTATGTCACTTCGTTTCCTCTCCTTCATGATTCATTACAGCAACCCATTCCCCTATCCCCTCTTAATCTAACTTACCCATCTACAGATTCTTTCCTTTCTCTTTTCTCAGTCAACAACTTTTTCTAATTCACCTGCCTGGCACCTTTTGAGTCTTCATCACCGGAAAGGAGGAACATCCCTTCACTTCCGGAGTGGATCCTTTAGATTCCATATAAACTCCCATTCCCCTCACTCGGGGTCCTGGTCTCGTCTACAAATACGCATCTTTCTGCATCGTCCATCCTTCGATTCCTATCGTTAACGTCTTCGCCCCCATCGACTGACCCCAGGGGGAGTTTAACAGAACTCTTCCTCATCCTAACACTCCCTACCATTTATGGTTAGGGCGATTTACTGAAATCATTGATTGCTCGTTGCCTTCTTTGTATCTAATAAACACTTCACTGTAAACTCCACGCCACAATGATCATCACATCAAACCAACATTTACTGACTACAATCGTTGCATATTATTGGTTTATTAGCAGTACAGACTTGTCTTTCATTCTTCCTCTCTCTCTACTTTTTTAATCTCAACCGGGATCACGCCGGTTTTCCTTTAGCATTTTGAAAAAAAATTTTTCTTTTTGCTTCATTTGATATAGCGGTAACTAACTGAATCATTTTGTCGGCAGCTGCCGTTATAATCAAGTGGTTTAAATGGTCTGAAGATGAAATGCATTAGATTTGTTAAACAGTTAGAAGGACTTGTTTTTTGGTAGTAAATTTTTTCAATTTAAAATTCATATTAATAATTAGTGTTTTGAAAACTGTGGGGGGATTTTTAACCAATGGAATTTTGCAGCTGCGGTACATTTTCACTGTGCTTGTACCACTGAACGAACGTATGAAGGACAGATTGATTGTTGATATTGGCTCGAGGTTGGGTGTCGTTCTTTATGCAGTCAATGCTTACGGGTTACGTTTTTTGTATATATGGTTGTTCTTTTTTTTTTTTTTTTAATTCATTGTCACTGTACAGTTTGCCTTGAATCTGCTCACTTTTCAGAAAATACAATTCGAGGTGCTGTACTGTTGTGAGTCCGTCTTACTCCGTAGTAGGGCTTTTCGTTTTTGCGCGCTCTCGGAATAGAACATACTTTGGGTATGAAGATAATAAATGCGTTTATTTTTCGGGTTTTTGCTTCTTTGACTTCGGGTTAAAGCGACTCCTTTGAAGTCAGGGAATGGAGATTTTTGGGCTAGGGCTGGAGCAGGGCAAAACTGTGCTGGAGCGTTTAAGCGAGCATTTACCGGAACTACATATCCGTGCGATGCAGAAGGCAAACTA